AGGGTTTGATCTTCGTTCCACCACCACAGTCCTCTGGGATCTCATTTCCAGACATCCCTGTGTTGGCTTCGTTCCCACCCAAACGTAGCTCGTGACTTCTGGAGAACATCTGTGAGCAGTAAAGCATCAAATGCTCAGCATTCAGCAAGGGAAACTCAGAGTAATCAGTGCCAGGGCACAGGCAGGCCCGGCAAGTCTCATGGAAGGAGCTGGAGCTCCTGTCCGTCTGTCTGTCCATCCAACCCCCAAGCTGGCCACTTCTCCTGCCCTGAGGCATCACAGCATCTCTTACTCGGGTTGCCTACATATTTGGACCATAAATGTGTTTTTCTTTTTTTTTTTTTTTTTTTTTTCCTCCTGGCTGATTTCTTAGATTCTGGACCTCACAAAGGACTTTCCTTGTTTTTCTAACACAGAATAAAGTTGATGAGATCAGAGAACAGGGTTGTAATAACTACACCCCCTTTTCCAGGCACTGGAACATCCCTCTTTCTGTAAACCAACACAATGCTGCAAAGATCCCATTCCCAGCACAGAAATTACACTGCCTCTGCACTGACTTGGCCTGAGAACATGATGCAACGCACCACGTTCATAAAACCAAGCCAAGTTCTTCTCCTCATCAAAACCTGAGTAACAACTTTCCCTTCACACAGATCAGCAGACTACTCTCCTGAATCTGAGCCACTGATTTCACACAGAATGTGACAAACCACCAAGTGCACTCACATCTAATTAAAAAATAATCACTTTTGTCTTGGATCTCCTTGATCTACATAATGTCTGGAGTCTTTTTTAGGCTAACAATGGGACAATTGATGCTGAATAGGGAGATATTCCTCCTGTTCCACTTCTCCATCTACAACAAGAATCTGTGTCTACGAAGTAGTCCAAATGCTGTTGACTTTCCAGTCCTACAGACTCAGTCACCACAGGATATGGCAAGACTGATTTTCATGAGATCCCAGCCTTTCCAGTTGCTTCTGCCAGAGACCATTTAGTAAAGAGAAAACACTATTTATGTCTTTCATCTCCTGAGAACTGCACAAACCATCACTTAAGAAGACAAGGTACAGTACAGCCCACACAGAGACACAGCAAGGACATGGCTGAGTCATGGGCTGAGCACCCGAAGGGCTTTCAGGCAGCTACAGCACAGAGCAACACTGCCTGGCTCAGGCTGCTTCCAATCCTATTTTTTTTTTTCCCCAGTTCTCATCCTCTTCTTCTTTCTAGGTCTCACAATCAGTGCCTTCGTGACCAGACCCATAATGTGCTCACGGAATCATGGAACCATCAACTATCCCAAGTCAGAAGGGACTCACAAGGATCACTGAGTCCAACCTTACTCCACACCGTGCCCCTAAAACTCAAACCCTACATCTGAGAGCCATGTCCAAACACTTCTTGAACTCACACCTCAGTTGTCCAGCTGCAAAACTGGCCTTGCATCCAACAATGAACTCGACCTCCATGTTTAGACATTTGCGTGATCAGAGCCAGAGCAGTTCTCCAACTGCAGAAGAGGTTTTGCATCCAACAGGGACCTCAACCTCCACGCTTGGGTGAGTAGAGCACCCAGAAAAGCTGCACTGCTATGTCATGATGAGAACAAGAACAAAAAGTAGCAGCACCATCACAAGTCCTCACCAGCCAGGTTTCACCTGAGACAGAGCATAACTCAGCTGGCATTGGTATTCAGCTCAGCCCTCTGGCTGTCACACCACTGCTGATACTACAACGGTGAAGGAACTTGAAGCAGATTATTTTTAGAGCACTGTAAAAAGGGAAAAAGGAAGCATTGTGTACATCCAAACCCAAATTAACAAGCTAGGCAGCTTTCTCTGTCCATGGTCACATCTGCTTTCTGATGCTGAATATTTGGCAACTATCCCTTCTCTTTAAAAACCCTGAGTAGGATTCAGCCCTTTTTATGACACATCATGATCCCAATCCCGCCTGGTTCTTCCAAGCTTTCCTGCAGATCTCTCAGCTCAGGAAGGAGGGAGAGTTATGATGTGAATCCCCTTGCTGACGTGTTGGAGGAAACTGCCTTCAATACTCCACACAGTATAATTTTGCCTACTTTGCTCTTTTCTCTTGTTATGCCTGAAATCAGAGCTTCTTAGAAATATGCATGGCTGAAAATACATGCTTTAAGAACTTATTTCAGTTTTATACAGAGCCAGTGAGAGTTCTGGAGTTACCGAGAGGTAATGTGTTTTTAGATGGCCCTAAAATGAATGAATGAATAAAACCAGCCATGCATTTACACATGGATAAATGTTTATCAATCACAAACCCAGCAACAGGTTTCGGTTTTGTAACAACGCCTCCTTTAAACATGAAACGGATTATTTTGGTTTAAATGTGTGTTTCTCAATGCTCAGATTCACAGTCGATGGTCAGATGAAAGAGATGGAGTTATGGCCAAAGTGGCTGTCCAACAAGCCTAAATTTAACTGTTTTCTTTTCAGAATCGTCCATCTCTTGCATTGACATTTAAGGTACTAAAGGATCAGATCTGAGTGTTTTTACTCCCTTCCTTCATCGCAGAAGCAGAACAAACCTCTGAAGAAAAGCACAGATTACACCAATGGAAAAGGTCTGGCCAAATCCATGAGCTCTGAAAGCACACAGAGCCCACCAAGGGCTCTGAATTAACCACATCCCCATTTGCTGGACACGCACTGTGCAATTTGTTGATCTGGGCTGGATCAACTCAATCACAGCCCCGAAATGGCAAATCAACCCAACAGAACTCAGCAGGGATCACTGCAGATTTGCATTGCATATCCTCCCTCCCACACTTCACTCTCTGGGTCAGTGTTAAGCTTGACCACTGCTAGAGGCAGCTCTGCTGAACCACAGCAAATAACATTTACCCAGTTTCTTCTTTCCACATCAGTAGAACACGAGAGGGCAAGGTGAAACTTTACAGGGGCAATTAGAAGCCACGGGGCCACAACAGCTTTATAGCACTGAACTTCTCAATCAGCCAATTGCTCTCGTTCAAAGTTTTTTTCCAATGGCAGACCAATAAAAGTTATCACAACAAACTTTGCAAAAAACCTTTGCAATCTCAGGTCCCAGAGCCAGACTGTCACCACCACACAGCTATCTTTTGCTTTAAAAACAAATCCTGATTCCTGGGCTCAAACAGCGAAACAGAAACAACAGGGATTTGCTCTGGCACTGAGACACTTTGGTATTAGTCACCTTGTGTAGATCAGCAGAGATAAGGAGATTGTAAATCTCTCTAACCCACCAGCACAAACCAGGTGCAGGAAAAGCAACACAACAAAAGAACAGCAAAGCAACCGATGGCTCCATTAAACCAAGGCAAGGAAGCAAGATAAAGCATGGAACGAGAAAACACTACAAGGGTTGAAAAAGGACTGGGGATTGACCCTTGGAACACAATGAGGCTGCAGGTTGCCATTGTTGCAGAGCTTCAGGGTGTGCACTCACCAACAGGACCAAGCGACACAAACACATGCCAAACTACAACATGCGGTGCAAACAACTCTGCAGGATCCTGACCCAGAGGACCCCTTCGTGCCAACAGCATTTAATGAACTGGGATTTTTTTTTTGCCACGAGCTTCAGCAGGAGCAAAGGCTGGAGCAGCTCCAGCAGCTGAGGAGTACTGCTCCTCTCTTAACCCCCCTCAACTCCAGCCCTGGCCATGAGCTGTTTTGGATCTTCACTATGGCAAAGTCTGTAGGATTCCTGGAATGAAATACATGGCCATTTTTTATTCACATATACATATATTCCAATCCACTTTCCCACCTGTTCTTCCTCAAAGAAAGTTTTGGTGATGAAGTTGCTCGGGTGGCTCACACTGACATCAGAAAAGAAAGCAACACTGAAACAACTGCTTTGTGAGAAGGGGAGAAGTAAGGAGACACAAGTGATGCAGTCTCAAAACTGGGTTACTTGTCACTCTCTGAAGTTCAGCCTGGTTGGCTCTGCCCTATGGGGAGTGGAGTGGTTCAAAGCTGTCACTCGCTGAGCAGAGCCAAAGTGGCTGGAACTGGATAGTCCTTAAGGTTCCTTGCAACCCAACCCACTCTGTGATCATACAGGGAGACCTGTGGCCATGTGCCAATGGGCAACCAGTTCCCATGGGCAACATCAGCCAACTCTACGGGAAGGAAACTCAGCCACAGCCAGCTCCCCATGCAGCTCACTAGATAATAATAATAAAAAAAAAGTGTGGAACGAACTAGAAATTGCAAACTGCAAGGAAACAAGAGCTTCAGTAAAACATTCAGTACCCAACCCCACGCCTGCACTGTTTGCACAGCAAATCAGCTATTGCATGCACCAGCAGAATCAATCCCATTTGCTAACCCCTACAGCATGCTACCAACTGTCAGCAGTGGGAAAGAAGCAGCGCTGCCCGTGGTCAGGGACTGGCTAGCATGGAAATTACAAGCAGAAGGGACAGAGCGGGAAGAAAACACATCCTTTGCTGCCAAAGGATGAACGATGAGGTTGAAGTGCAGGAGAATGGTACTTTGCTGAACTTCTCATGGGTGGGGATGGTACCATCTGGAGCCTCTGTCCTGGGATATCGCATCCCGTTATTCCTAGTTTTGGCAGGGTGCTGCACGAAAACCATTGCGCTCCTGAGCGGGAGCGGCAGACGGTAAAGCTGAATGCCAGCGGGAGTCGCGAGAAAGCACTGAAAACACAAAGTGAATTCCTCGAGCTCCTGCGATACCGTTACTCTTGAAGAGGGAGAGCTCAGAGAAAGAAAAATAAATAAACAAATAAAGGAGGAAAAAAGGAGAAAAAAATAACTAGGAGATTCCCGCTTATACACAGAAATGGAAACCCAGCAAACGCACACCTGCCTTTCACCGACCGCGTCTCCAAAGTTGCCCAAACTTTGCTTTAGGCGAAACGCCTCTTCTGAACCCATCCAACAAAAACAGAGCGCCTACCGACCGGGGCAGAACCCCACGCAACCCCGTACCGGCAGCACTCACCGCGGATAGGAGGCAGCCCAGCAGAGGCAGGAAGACGCGCAGCCGCGCGGATTGCATTGCCGAGGACACCGCGCTCCGCCGAGCTCCGAGCGCTCCGTTCCTCGCCTCAGCGCTGCGCTGCGCTCCAGGACTTGCGCTCCCGTTGCGCGCATTCACGGTGAGAGAACAGAAAGACGGAGAGAGAGACAGAGGGACGGAAACGGCTCCGCACTGCTCCGCACCGCTCCGCCGCCCCCAGCCGCCTTCTACATGGGGCGGGACCGCTCCGCCTCCCTCCCGCCCCAGGTGCCGGAGCTGCACGGGGGGAGGGAGGGGGTCCCCTCCTCCCCTTATCCATTCTTTTTTTTTTTTAATCTCTTTTTTCTCTTCCCGTTTTTCTCCCTTTCCCCGTCCGTTCCCCATTTCCTTCCTCCTCCTTTTTTCCCTCCCTTAG